CGCTCGAGCCCACACTCCCTAGCAGACTATGGGCAGAACGTTTGACTTTGCGCAAGACCTGACCCGCCTTTGTACTTTGAGTACACCTTAGCTATCATTTGCATTAATGATGTCAATGCTGATAAGCCGCGGCACTATAAAGCTGACGAAAGTTTCAAGAGATCAAGTAGCCAAAAAGAAAATATTTACATGCTTGTGATAACTACCGAAGACCATGACTAGCCATGTAGTCACTAGTAAATGTCAGTGTGCACTTATAGGCACTGCTAACGATGATTTTGGGGTGAAGCTCTTTAGGTTGAAAAGAGGAAGTGTTGGTTTACAACAGCGCATTGGTGACGAGGGAATCGAGTAAATTCGCAAAACTCATGAGGTCTAAGAAGCCCTACAATTGGTGAGACTAGAGGGTTGTACGAGATTACCATGTTGAGAAAGGCGTGAGAGGGGTGTTCGGACGAGATTTCAGTTGTTGCAGTTGCATAATGAGCTGGCTACATTGAACCAAAAGTGCTCGAAACCACCACAGGTAGCAACTAGTCGGTTGAGTATTCAACGGGGATCCTATGTGAATGGCGCACCCTCTACAACTCTTAAAAACTCGTCCGTATTCAGGTGTGTGTGTTGGCAAAGCCGGTCTTCGAACTCTTATTGCACCCTATCTTGGCCATTTTTTGACCAGACAACATATCATATGGCATACGGGAAGATACAGATTCGTCCTAGCAGAAATCTCGGAAAACATTTTTTGTACGGTGCCTGTAATACGAAAGGAATGACATCTTTGATCGGTTGCATGAACCCCTCCTATAACGGAACTCTATAGGCAAGCGACAGTTCGATTCTTCAAGACATAGAGTAAAGAGTGTGGGGAGAGTGGGGTCTGGTGGTCTTCCATATTTTGCTGACTGATGTAAATAATTGATGAGCTCCCGACAAGAATGTGATGCTAATCGATTTTCTCGATTACTTTATTCGACAATAAGAACTGGTAATAATTGGACTTCTACGGCTTGGCTCGCATCACGTATGAATTGTCTTGTCACCTTTCTATGTGAGAAAAACTTTCTTTGTTTTTACAACTCCCCCTCGTTGTCAATAGTGAGATTTGTTCTATGGACTTTCATTCCTTCCTTTCCTTCCTATCGAGTCGTTTGAATATTTTGTTTGTTTACATCATTGCACAGTGATTTCAGTAGTTCTCCCATTCGAATGCAATAAAAATGGTTCTAGGAGGATGGCTAGAGGGTTAGCAGACTCTGGGAAATTCCTAGTCAAGCCTTCAGCGCACTCTCGAAAGCACCTGACTTTTTACTCTCTACGTGGTGTTGATCAAAATGTTACTTTCCCGTTCCACTAGTTCTCACAGTGTACAATCTTTACTGACAGCGATCTCCGCGCTACAGGAACCATGTCTGAGGAGAACTGGTTTACGGTCAGCGTTTCCGGTGGCACACCAATCAAATGAGATCAGGATGATGCACATTGTCATTACTGCGGTACCTCTACAGACCTCACACAGCTTCCAAAGGAAGCTCACAAGGCTAGAAGTCTCTTTTTGTGCCTATTATTGAGAAAAGCAGAATCGGTTCATCAGGCCGTAGAGCTGTATTATAGTTGCATTTAGCTTCCCTAGGCTTCAGGGAACCCGAGTACTACCAAGAGGTTTACTGTCAAGAACGGTTCAGCCTTGGGGCGGCATGTGCGATATGCCTAATAAAATTCTATGACCGGAGGGAAACAAGGAGCCTTGGTAAATGTGCTGCGCAGCCTTCTAACGAAGATTGGCATGAACGACCAAATTACGTTCAGCAGATAGCATCACTCTACATAGACGTAGTACGAAGCGTTCTCTCGTGGTGATTTTTTTGTCGCTAAACGTGACGTGGTCAATACATAGTTCATGAAGATATTACTCTCGAACATTCATATAACTCCAAAGCAAACTCAAAAATATTTTTCTGAGGTGTTCTTCATTTAGAACAAGGTTACAGAGACAGCTGATAAGTGCGAAATTATTCTTAGGTTGATGCGTAAGTATTGCGGATTTTTTCTACAAATGTTATTTGGGAAAGAAGACAAAAATATTTACTTAAATCGTATTCAAATAATTACTAAGGCATTCACCATCTACGTCAAGCATTACTTCTCATTGTTAGGCAATCGGATTCCACAGGCTAAGAGGTTTCAATTTTTGGAGGTCATCTACGCTTTGACATCGACCACTAAGTCATCTATCTCGTCGTGAATTATGTTTGCTAGCCATCTCTTCGACGAGCGGTTTACGCGATAATCCGTAGGTGTCTCTGTCAGTGAGTATGGCGGATCTAGAAGCAGATCATAATCCTCTTTTGCCTTTGGCTGATTGCTCCATCACCGAAAAGCTCGCTAACGTTGCAAATGACTCTGCAACCCTCAACTTTCCTCAAAGTAGTAGAGCATAATGCGTGAACATGAAGATGACTTTGAGGCGCATTTCCGTAAACAAACGCGAAAAGATGATCCCCACAGAAATCTTTGGTTCAATTTTGGAATCGCATCGTATCGTGGATGACTTCATGTAAACCGTAATGGATTTGCAAGTCTGAAGGAAAACAGATACCAGTCAAGTACCCAAAAAATTCTGAGTATCAATCTGACCGTGCTGCGCACAATGCGCAGTTTTGCAAAGTCCATGATAACATGTTTAATTGACTAAATCAATAACACCCTACAACACATCGGGGGAGAAGAAGGCGCGAAAAATTCCCCAGTAATTATACATCAACTTAATACATTGATTTTTCAAGGACGGCATAACATAATTAAAATAGAAATTTTCGGCTGAAAGCGGGATTCGTTCTAGTGTTCATTCAATTATGAGTTCAATCATCACCAGAAATCGTTTCGGAGAACTTTTACGAGCTTTGCATTTGGTCGATGACAGCGGAAGTGCTAATGACGACCGTATTTTTGAAATAATATTCATTTTTCGAAGTTGTTCAACAAACGAAGATTTCACCAAGGTAATGTACCCCTTCGGAAAAACACCTTTACAATTGCAAAATTATAAGATTTTTTAGGATCACGCTGTATGAAGTTTCATTTAGACCTGATGTAATGTTTTGAGAAGAAAATTGTAAAAAAAAATGGAAATATAGTTGAATAAAACAAAAAATNCGAAGATTTCACCAAGGTAATGTACCCCTTCGGAAAAACACCTTTACAATTGCAAAATTATAAGATTTTCTAGGATCACGCTGTATGAAGTTTCATTTAGACCTGATGTAATGTTTTGAGAAGAAAATTGTAAAAAAAAATGGAAATATAGTTGAATAAAACAAAAAATGTAACTGCAGTCCATATGTGGACTGCACGGTCCCATGTGGCCGAAAACGTGCAGTCCACATATGGACTGCATGGTCGTCAATGGGTTAATAGCAAACGAGACCGACCTGAACGTTCCTTTGACGATGATTTGATTCGGTGCAGTTTCTCCAACAAGAGAGCCGTCTAATTTATGAGAATGAGCCGTCAATTCAAGAAAAGGTCACGATTTCTTTGAAAATTCAAAAATGTTAGATGTTCGTCATAGTGTAAAAGGAGCAATGCAAAGAACTTGCCCCTTGCCAATCATCCAGTTTACAATGTTGGTGAAAACGTCATTTTTGCGTGCTATGCGCGCGACTTCGCTGAATGTAGTGGTTACTGCAAAAAGACTAGTAACTTTGGGTATAAAATGTTCTCTGGCTACCGTAGAATTTGTTCTCGTCGTGTGCACAGATTCTCTGTTCTATTTTCTTTCTTTGTTAAATGCATATTATTGTATTGATGGTCACCTCACTTCAGTAATGCAACGCTATCATTACGTAATCATTGTATACTTTTTCAGACATTTTATTAGTGATTTTATCGCATTCTCTTTGATATCGGATCAAACACCTCTGCTTAGTGTCTTGATTATAGATAGAATTAGCCCCAAGTAGTTCGACCGTGACAGGTACGAAACAGCTCATACCACCCACTCCGTCTTAGGATCATGCAGTACATGAATGTGAGGGTGTGAGTGAACGTCTGAGAGTGAAGAATGAAGAAGGGTCAGGGGGTAGCCAGAGAGAGAGTGTGTGTATATAAGGGTGCCACCCTCTTAAATGAATCATTCCGTCCTCTGTGTTTGTCCTGGCATCGACATTGGCGATCAGGATGAGTTTCGAACCCACGTGGGGAAGCTCCAAAGGATTAGCAAAACCCTGTTGAAGAATACTTGTCTTCATTGCAGAATAGCCATAAGAAAAAAGGAAAGTAAGCTTACCGAGTGCTCACGGTCTTCGCAGTCTTGCATTCCCTGAAAAAAAATACCTTCAAAGAGGTACCTGAATATGTGACCCGGAAGATTTCAACTTTTTGGGTGAGAGTTCGGTTGTGGTCTTTATACTCGGAAATCCGTCTCTCTCAAACATTCCTCCATTGTAACAGGAATTACGAGGGAATTCGCTGATCAAGGAAAGAGCAGAGTCGATGGAATAAAATAGTTACGTCATGCATCAGGAGTTGTCGAATAGTTTGGTCTTTGATATGTATACGGTAGTGATATGGACGTGCACTTTTGCAGTGAGTAGCTTGATCGCTCGTCACAACCCCCTCTGTGCCCCGTGTCAACTACAATAGGTTTCTAGTTGCACAGCATAAACATGAAACGAAGTACAGCGAAGTACGAAGTGCCATAGGAGAAGCGAACCATCTGCAAACATTGTGAAAAATCCAATAACTAAGAAATGTATCAATTTATCCGATGCATTACCGTTATGATACGACTAATCGTTGACGTCTTGAAACGAATTCATCCTGCCTTTCATATCGTTTTGTGTCCAGCTGGCAATACTGTTCATTTGATTACATTGCAGTTTTTGAGAAAAAAAAAACTCGTGAGAAGGTCCCATAACTCCTCATCGATTTCAGTTATGCCCTCGCTTCGACCACGGACTCATGAGATCGTCTCCTGTGTGCAATTTGGGCTCGGGTCAATGCTTATGTTTGCTGGGTATCTCTGCACGTCGTTCATATCTGAGTCTATCCTGAACTCAATATATCAGGATAATCCCGACACGATCAGTCAATTTGCAGGTTATTATGGGTAGGAAGCGTATCGTTAAACTTGAATTCACATATTTTAAGCTTGAATCACTAATGGCGATTGCAGAGGGGCTATACAGTTTGGAGCATTGGCCGTGTCGAGTATTGTTACACCTTCCGTTGTCCACTTTCTCACATCAAAAGTGAGTATCTTCAGGTGATTTGGTCACAACGATGAAATTCGTTTTCCAGCAACAGAAACTACTTCTTTCAGTGGTCGCTTGTACTGAGCAGCTTCTTATTCGCTCTTTATTATGTAGGATTTGCCAAAGTTACGTGGTGGTATTTTTACCTCTCACAAACATTCGTCGGTTTCGGCTATGCACGTGAGTAGAGCTACATATTTCATAGCATTGTGCTTTATAGCTCGGATGTTCTACTCCTAGCTTGAGAGCATGCCACGTCAAACAGTACCAACAGTACCAAAAACATAGCGTATTATTATAAAAGCATCAAAAATGAGCGAAATGTTTAGAGATTAGGCAGAATGACTGAACATCACAATAGGCATCTATTTCGTCATATGGAAAAGGGCTGTTCAGGCAGACATCAGATTAAGCTTCATATATGATAGTTTGTTTTAGTTTTCAGATATTCTCATTGACCAAAAGACAGCTATAATTGGAAATACAAAATCTTGATTAAGCTGGGGAAAGGGAAATATGTATTAAAGATGAAGTATAGATAAATCGGTGAAGGGAAAAAATAATTACCGCAGATGACGAAGGAGTCTGGAGTCTGGTATATGCGAAAGCCTAATGAGGAATGGACAATTGAAAATACGAGTATCCTGAGGAATAGACAATAATTACTTCGTTTTTGAAATATTCTGGAATCTAATAATTCAAGGCTTTTGAATAAGGCTCTTTGCTCTTACTTTTAGTAGAGTTTGTCCATATCAGATAGTAGGGTTAAACTGAAGGTTATCCCTCGGAATCTCAATATTTTTGACTGAGTTATCCCCGCGTTCATGGTATATGTCGATTAAATTCTTAGTGGGTACAACAACAGCAGCTCGAATGACCTACTTTGTTAAAAATCAACTAGATTTGTTCAGAAGAACAAAGCGAAGAAGTGTAATTTGGCCCTACCACATATAAAAAGCTGGAGAATTCTGAATATAGATCATTCCTAAATAGAGATAGGAATATAGGCATATTGAAGATGTTTGGAGCCTCCCGATCCATGAAAGTGTAAAAGAGAGAGCTTCTGAGTTAGAGTGCATAGTTGGACTGATCCTGTCGAAACACTTTTTCTCCCTAGAAGAAATGTAAATACAAAAGCGACCGCCATAGTTTTTCTTCAACAACCCTAGACATTCACTCCGTTAGTCCTAATCGCCAATAGTGCGGACGTTTTTAGGCCCTCTGCATCCTGATAATTGTAAATTCACAAACGTTAAGGCTGCGGGATCCCTTTTGTACTTGATCGTATCGGAAAACTCCGATTTTTGAACAGTTTGTATATTTCTTCATAGTACCTAAGTTCATACTGGTCGTGAGAGTATAACTGATCAAGTAGAGGTAGGGTCTAAATCGGATGTTTTTTGCGTTATTCGTTGTACATGCGCTGCCCATTACTCTTCCGAGGTTCTTGAACACTCATCATGCCGCAGCTTCAAAGATCAGCAGTGAGGAAACTTCCCCCACCTATACAGTCATAACCGGAACATGTAGCGACTCGGCGTTGAGAGTAAAATGAGCACCGGAAGCAGGTTCCGTTGTGGAGCAACATCGGCGATAAGTTCAGCACAAAAGCACTACCTGTGAAACTTGGGCATCCCTTTCGCAAATTTCCTATCCATGGCTTGCTTGCTCGCTCTTCTCCAGAGCACTTCTAATCTTGACAGCTCATGTGAACAGGGTGTAGATCAGATAGATGTAGCTCCATCAATAATTGTCTATGTTTTCGGCACTGTAATACCTGGAAACCCTTCGGAGGTTTTGGTCTGACGGTACTGGAATCGGTTGCGCCTTTGCTGACGAAATAGCACGTAGTTCGTCGTCGGAGTGAGCGTTAGAGAACATTTAGGCAACATATGATAGTATTTAGGCAGATGAACAGGGCTGTTGAAAAGATTAGAGCATGAATTGTAGACGACCTTTGAAGTTCCCTTTGGGATCCAATAACTGTTCCATCTAGACGTCCAAGGGACTTCGTCCTGCTTCAGAAACCAGCAAATCTCCGACTGGGGTAGTACATGCTCTTCTTAGCTTTGGAACACCAGGTGGAACTTTTATCGCCTCTCTGCATAGCTTCGCCAAATTCGAGGAGCTCTTGAGTGAATGTTGCTCGCGCTTCTTCGCTCTAGTGTATAAACTCAGAATATTCGAAGAGAAACGTCTTTCGGTGCAGTAGAATTTCGCTCTTTTGCTGAAGATGTTTAGCGATCCGATTTCGCTATCGTCAATGTTCATATAGATAGTTGAGATAATTTTCGAGATTGGCGTTCTCCCGTATATTTGTAAGGAAGGCGAAGCGACCTCAGGGTTCGATTGCAATTGAGCCTCATTTCTTGATTTTAGCAGCTCTCCACGCCCATCGAAAAACTCTGAGAAATTAGTCCACAATCATTTTAAGGGACCCTGTCATGACTTTTGTAAGACCTCTTCTGCGCATTGTTGTCTTTGCGGTCGTTGCACTGTAATACACTGCAGAGCAACTTGAAGGTTACTGGGCGGTCCTAAGAGCTCCGCACTGGGTCCTTCCGCGCAATCGCACTGCAGCCTGGAGCCTTTTGCAAGCGTACCGACGGCCATGAATAGATGGCCTGAAAGGGAGACAACTCCAGTTTAGGCTAACCTCTCTCGTCTCGGCTGGAGCCTTCGAGCTTCGCATGGTTCTACGTCCCTCCTTCGATACTTCTTCGCTAGCTCTACGCGCTAACGTCGTCCGCAGTTCCGTCGTCTATAATTTGCCCCAATTCTAACAAGTCTGAGATATTCTACGTGGGCGGATTACGCGCAGTATACGATGAGGATCGAGAAAGCGGCGAGGAGTACACCGCGCAAGGATCATATCACGCAGCCAAGGGTAACATTTACTCGTTAACGGTGACAAGACCCCTTTTCCCCTGTCGGTTCCCTGGACAGCCCTTGGTGAGGAGCCCCTGGATGGTGAACCAGGATCGCTCCCAGGATGGATAGATTGGGAACTCCTGCTCCGCTGCGTTTGGTCACCGGATGTGTCGAACGCCCTCGGCTAACGCCACCGCGCATGAGCAGGAGGGTTGACGCGCATCGACGACCTCTGGTGAGGTGAGGTAACACCCCGAGGTGAGGTAACACCCCGTAAGATTATAGTTGAGTTTATCCCTTTGCTTTGTCAATAGGTATAAATCCACTCACTTGATTTATGTTTTCTAGTGTAGTCGTGGATCTTTATCATATTTACTTGGACTGCGAACGAACATTTATCTATCTCATCTTCTTTACTTCTTTATGTGTATAGTATATCTCAACATAATTAACAACAACGATAATATAATTGCCTACATTAATTACATTAATTAATCAATTACATTAAGCTCTGAGCACAGTGTCCTGGGAAGTACGCTGGGTCGCATTGAGGTGCAGCGTTACGATGGCCGGATTGCAGGGACGCAGGGATCGTCATGGGGCATCATACAAGGATGAGGACCGCCCATACCGTGGCAGGATGGGCTTGTCAGCGCAGTTCCCTTGTGCTCTTCTTGAAAATCACGGTGGCGCACACTCCACATCAAGGCGTTCAACGTCTTATGGTTAGAAAGCTCTGGGAGTGGGCATCCGCCACGACAGACCCCCTTTGAGCATCGCTAATGAATATATCGGTGACGGAAAAAGTTTTCGCCACTGATGCGCTACACTGATCGACATCCGTTCAGTGCAGGAACTTTTGAAACTAACAAAAGCAGCGGACTGTACTTGATATGAAGGTAATATGAAGTTTCCCACAGAAGTGAATTCAAAGAGGTGGTGCATAACAGTTCCTATAACTCGAACACAGACGCACAAATAGTGTGTGTGAGTGTGTTCATATAGTTTTATGTCTCTGTGTCCGACCGAGAATTCATAACTTCTTTCAACTAGAGCGTTCAGAATCATCAAGGTTAGGGCTATAGGGTGAGAGCACATGTGGTAGGCGTCAGGGACGGACTCGGGCACGAAATTTGTATACCTGGAGCTGGTGTATTCAAACAAGGGAGGCCTACAGAGCACATTATGGGAAGGGCAGGAGACTACACTAACAGCACGTAAGGTATATTTTTGGATGTAGGGAAGTCTTCCGATTGTTGTGTGTTTCGAAGCTTCGTTCCCTTTATTTGCACAATTTTCAAACAAGTCCCACCAAGAAGAAATGAAGAAATGTTTCGGGAATGGTTGCAGATGTAACGATCGATAATAGCAATGGATTTCGATCACTGTTGACTTGTGTATTTTGATATGGGAACGATACTGATTACTCGTTTTTCGGAAAGCAAAGGGTACGGGTAATGATGGCGGTCAGCATATCATTTCAACCTCATCATAAAATAGGGGAGATCAGACTGATATTGTGGAACAAGAAAAAGGGTCATGTGAAGAGGCAGCGTTGAAGTGAGTTCCTCTGAGTCGTATGAAGCGATAATCCCCTCGCAAATTCTTACATCTCTCCCCCGCATGAAGTAATGCACTCCTGCGAAAAATCTATATAAATAATTTCTACCCACACTTGACTTCAAAATAGCGCGTCACCTTACCTCTCACTGCGTTGAGCAGAGAGAGTCCTATTTCCATTCTTTCTATCATGTTGCGCCTTCCCATCTTTTCTTACGCTTCATCGATGATGTGGCAACATTCCTTGGTTATGACTTCTATTAATCATGGTTACTTATAGTGTACAATAATTGCGAAGGGGCTTACCTTTCGGAACACTCTACATGGGCCACAATTGAACCGAACACTGCAATAGAAATTGCTATTGGACATCAATGGTAAGTCGAAATTCTGAGCATGATTTTCAAAGTGTGATATTTTTCGCAGAGTGTGATCGTAATAGGCAGGTTAAAGGCCGGGGTACAATATTACATTATAACGGTATGGTCTTGTGAACTTTCTGAAGTACATTCGTTACATCTAGCAACTAACCTCTGGCTTAAATGGTACCCACTTCCGGTCTACATTTACTACTACATGCTCTACATTGCACTATGCGGCATCATGTCCTCTCCTCTACCCTCTACTTGCTCATTCGTAATCTTCCTGAAGCTTACTCATGTGCTTAGAAACGAAAAATTTCTTCCTGACAACTTTTTCTTCGTGGGGATATAAAGTGAAGGGAAGCAAGGAAAGCTAAGGTGGAGTCATAGTAGTATTGATAGAATATCATCCAGAAGATGTGTACAGAATCCGATTTTCGCGCCACATATGCTGCCACAAGGTAGGAAACTTTGTGAAAGAAGCTAGATGGAATTGGTGCTCCTGAAGGCACAGCTAACCATAATTTTGGGTAATCCAGATTATGACGAAAAATGGAAGACAAGATGGAAGTAGTGCGATGAAGACGAAGAAAGTGCTCGGATCGGTGTTTCCATTATGATGAAATGCTTCAAAAAACTCGTTGAAAAGGGGGCTGGACGAGAAAGAGACTAGAAAAGTGAAGAAGATCGAGGCGTTCGGACCAGCTACACAAGGTGTCACTGCGTACGTGTGGGTCCTGGTGCGAATAGCTGACTACATTGAGCAAAACCAGCCTTTGGAATTCATGCACTCATAAGCATAAGTTAACAAAAGTAGTAGCGAAAGTAGCCCACCTTTTCCAGCCTCATCAGGTAGAGAATTAGATAAACGACCGCAGCGGCAAAAAGATTGACAGAGAATAATGGAGTAATAGAGACGCTTGCTCAGCACTCGACGATTAGCTGCTCCTGACGCGGTCGTGACGCGAATATTGCAATCTGTATCAGCTCGACACTCGTCTGACACATCATCGGTTGATGGGCGTGACATCCGAGCAATTCAGTATTGGTGCTTCCACTATGCCCTAGCCCTTGAGTTCCTTTCTGCTACTCTTGGGGGCCACTGGATATTCTCGAAGGGAGAACTCAAAAACCATTTTCATTGAATTGTGCCTTCAATGAATATTGTTTAAAACTTGGACAGCGTTTACTTCGCGTTATACCACGCCGCATTCGTTTAAAATGATGAACATAGTCAAAGGTAGAGGTGAAAGAGTAAATTGCTGCCTGAATTCTACCGGTCTTTGTCCAGAGACGCAGGTGGACTCAGGTTACGGACTACCTGCTTTCGCTATGTTGAATCTACTCATACCTCTTGTCTCACTGTAGTGTACCCGCGCCCGTGCATGTTTAGAGTTTCTGCTGGTGGGGTTGAAATCTGGACATTTGTTCAGCCAGAGGCTTGGAAGAAATCTAGGAGGCGATTTTGCGTTGCCTTCAGTAACTAAACCCCTTGTCCTTTAGGCGATAGCCTGGCTTGCTACCCGAACCGAACTTTTACGACTTGGAGGATGGCTCAACCCTAATTCTCACTTACACTTGATTACGCACCGACGAGATGAAGATGAGAAGGAAGCATTTTATTTCACCTGGACAAGCTATCGGGAGGGTACCACTCTTTCTCCAAGATCATCGTCGGTCGCTTCAAAGATTCCAGCACCACCATCTATGAAAATCCTAGAAACCCTTTCGCTTGCGATTGACTTGAGAGTCACCTGGTAGACCATTCCACAAAAATCACTTACCATTTTCAATTGGAAGTCTTGCCTAATTGACATCGACAACGTCTTCGGCACAGAATCGGATCACCTTCTCCTCCATTTCTGTTTTTGACGTGTGAACGGAGAGCTGCACAGTCTAAGGAACGAAGAATCGTAAAGAGCTTCGCCAATAAGAAGACCGACATGACTTCGCTTTGTCCCGACAGAACAGTCATATCGCAGGCAATGGAAGAGGTCATCTACAACTTCCAATCGTATCCTTTCGGCAGCCATGTTTGCTTGCCTACCTGTCTTTTTACGCAGACGGCTATGCCGTTCTTCAAGCTCTCTCTTCAGCAATTCGATATGTCATCACGTAGATGCCGAGAGTATGCCGTTATACCCAAGGTTCGTTGATTGGAGATGGATTTTGACAATATTGGCGGAAGCGGTAATTGAAACCCTTAGCAATCAGGGTGATCCTATTCGATATATAAGGATGCTGATTGAGCTGCGCAACAGTAAGGTTATGCATCTCTACAAGGAAATCATTGTTGGCACGAATGAGAGGGGTTTGGTAGAGCAGTACGTCCCAACCCTTCAGTGTCGCTCCTAAGAATACCGTGCGTCGTTTGATGTGAGAAGACTCGAAAGTGCACGTCGAGGACCGCTACTTACATCACCTCAGCTTGCACACAACATCGTGCTTGTAACATCGAACGAATGCTAGCCGGATTCGACAGCGGTGCAGGGAAATTTGGACTGGAACTCAACTTGAACGGTAATCATGACAAACGGATTGACACCTGATGGTTTTTAAGCGAATATCTTTGAAGGCTCTGGCTACGCGTATTTAGTCGAGAAATTAATATCATGAACGACCTAGCTCCACAGATGAGCAGATGGAAAATGCGCGGCGTGGGGAACACTCAAATTGTCGAGGGAGTAGTGAAGAAGGTCATCCCTCCTCCCTCGAAGAATTGGGTTCTGCGAAAACGGAAAGATCATGATGTTAACGTCATTTATCACCACTACAGAAAAGAATCGGGAGTTCTGAGCTCCGTCAGCGAACAAAAATCGTTGCCTATGGCATGGTCAAAGTTTTTGCGAATTGCCTAAAACGGATGAGTGTTGCGGCTAGTGCTCCTTGAGCAATGGCGATATACTGAGCCGCTCTGGCTAGCGACGTGGGCGCAGGAGGACTATACGGCACCCGCTCGAGGAAGACGATGGTCAACGGAACGACAGGCGATACAGCTTTAAGGCGATCGTCATTCGAGTATATGGTCGAGTCATCCACCACTGCGATCAAGCAAGGTATTGTCATCATCTCCACGCTCCCACTTCAATTTTTAGGAAATAGCTGCGAGGATGAGAGTAAATATTAAGTGGTTTTGAAAGAAAACGCTAGCAGCTGGAAGAATTTCGTACCTGAATTATTGAAAAAATGTTGATGCTTGCCTTAGGAGTATTATATTCCAGACTATAAAGATTTGTCTTCACTAACAAACACCAGAAGTGGGTGTATCCGTTCACCTAGACACTCAGAGCAGGGAACTTGGTAACAGTTCCGTGACTCACTGTTTTGGAGAAATGGGAGGCCGCAATTAGTTCGACTTCGTACACTGTACTTTGTAATTTTGAGAATAACTCTTTACACACATTAATCTCTCGCTTACCTCATGCAACTTAGAGGCCGACGAATTTCCTTGCTCCCTTGCCTTCCTGTATTTGAAGACGCGGTTGGCAAGGAAATGGCTTTTTAATTTTCCCACATAGCATGAATTCGAGGCCCCTCTGATACCATATGTGGCGAACTGAGGTCGAAAAACTTCCTGAATAGGGCACAATAAGGGGCCAGAGATTGTATTGTGAAAATGTCACACCCACAGCGGACGAGTCTCAACGGTGATTTAGAGGCTGCACTATCTCAAAGGACTACCATGTTGAATGTTCAAGCAACTTGTCGTGACCCACGGCTATGAGGGAAGGCAGTTTTAACCAATTCAAACTTGATGTAGCCAGCTCTGCGCAATAGTAACAATTGAAATCCTGTTATAATACCCGACCCATGCCTTTTCGTCATGGTAATCTCGTACAACCTCCAGTGCCACTACTTTTAGAAAGCCTTATTTTTCGCAAAGTAGGCGGATTCTCCTGCTTCCTCCTCCACCGATCGACTGCATTACACCAACACTTCCCCTTCTCGACATAAGATGAGTACCTCAAAATTATCATGAACTGTGTCTTCAAGTAAGCCTCCCTCACGGATCAAGGGATTGCGTTGTCCTATTGCTCTCTTCACCGGAATCTTCATTTAAGAAAAGGAAAATTTGCAGTGAATCGACAAGCACGGAGACTACGGTCATGAGTAAGCGAACTAGTAGTTGAGCTGACTTAAGCCTCTGTGTGGAGGTAGCCTAAGAGGTGTCAGAGATAAAAGTATGCGTCCTTGTGCATCGATGATTCCGTTACCCGTTTCTGCTGGACAGAGTACCATCGAAAACTTGTATTGACCGGGAATAAGTGCAATTGATTTGATCGATTTTCCTGTAGCTGACAGCCTTTATTTTCTCGGAAATGCCAATGGATTCATATAAAATTATGTATGTGCAACATGCATAAGACTTTGCATTTGCTTGATTGCAGCATGCTTGTTGGAGGCCTTGTGCTTCTTGTAGTTTTTCTTATCGCTGGTGGTGGAATTCCCCAAAGTTTTGGAGATATCAGCTACCTCCATTTTTCAGGTTAGTGACAGCGTATCTTGAGCCATCGCATCACACACCTATGACTTCTTTCAACTTTCAAAATAAGAGTTATGATACGATATATCCGAATAATGAGAGTTCATTCAGAAAACAAAATACGCCTGCTTTACGGCTCTTACCTTGGAGTATCTCTGCTGTCTATACTGATTTTCACCTTCCTTCCAACAAAGCAGTATAATAGTATTGCTTCGACTGCACAGAGAAAGGCCTGGTCATTTGTCGGGCAACTTAGTGAGTCCTCTCATCGTTTCATGGCAGATTCATGACTATTGTTATACCCATAAGCGTTCCAAGGAAATAGGATGAACAACCTTCTTAGTGAGTAATGCAATATCGCACATAAGAAATCCAGAATTTGGTCGCTGCTTTACTCATGTGCTAAACATTTATAGTGACGTGCATCAATAGAAATGCGACTATGACAAAAAGAACTTTTTGATAACCTTCTATGTGGCAAGGCAGCAATTTAGCATTTCTTAATGTCACTTGTTGGTTGACGCAAAGTATAATACCAAAAAATACTATTTCTTCTCAGTGAAACTATTAGTGCACATTCTATATTATGTAGTAGTGATTGGGGCCCTCAGCCGAGAAGTATCAATGTTTTTATGCTGGAGATTAAAATAAACTTGTTCGTTTCCTTTTTTATGCACGCATTATGTGTGCCATGCGATACTCAATCTGTGCTTTCAGAATCGCTGGGCGAGACACTTCTACGTAAGAATATGTTGATTCTCTCTCTAGCTTTTCTATATCAGGGAATATTTACCTCGTTCTATCTTGCAGTGTTTCCTACAACATTCAGGTAACTGTAGTGTCGTTTTGCTTTCTATTTGAAATTATGTTCTGCTTTTTCGCTGCTGACAGTTGCCTTGTGGCCACAACAGATTTTTATATCTGTTTGAGAACCAACCTAGTGGAACCTTGGCTTCTGAAGAAAACATAGCGTCGAAACATTAGGCCGTTGACTGATTGAATCGTTCCGCCTAACAACGTCGCACGGTGCAAGAATATTTTAAGCACAAATAACTATGCTGAGGTAAAAACAGAAGAGAAGTTGGGGGTTGTTTGAAGTTACTTTCTGACTAGTTGCAAGAATGATTGAAGTAGAGCCATGAAAATCTGTCGCTGGCTATGAACCGATAACATGCTCGGCTTACTGAGACTTATATGTATTATCGTTGCGGAATACTAATTTCTTGATTATACTTATGGAAAGATGACCTACTTCAAACGTGCCCAGGAATGTGGCAAGATGTTTCCGCAGCATTCAGCTCTTGCAGAGTTCAGTACGCGCCGAAGTTTCCTTCAATAATCACATGTGTCACCTGTATTATCTGTCGTCCCGCTGATCATCGACTCCCTCGAGCGGGCGCCAGTGGCGCTCGTCTCCATTCATCGCTGTCACGAGCAGAGTTCTCCAGTGAATCTTCCTCGCTTTGGGTCACGACGTCGAAGAAGTCTGACCATCTCGCTGGCGACCGCCCTGGAGTTCGTTTGATGTCCCGAGGGATCCAGTCAGTAATCGCCTCGGTTCAACGGTCATCAATATATTCCATAACGTGTCCGGCCCACATGATCTTCGATTTCTTGGCGGTAATTGTCACGCTGTCGGTGACGTTCTCCGAGCCCTTCAGCATCGGTGGTCGCTCGGCAGGGCGTCCCCGGCGGCGTGAGCTAAGTGATCGGGGTCTTCTGCCCGCTCGCCATGCTCGGATTCAACTGCCACACGGACTTGGTAGGCCTAGGGCTGCCCCAGTCTCCCTCGCAGGCTCCCACGAGGTGGTTTGCCTCCGCAGTACGCTACGACATTGTTGGCCCAGTGCCGAGCTCCCTCGGACACTGGGCACGGGGTCCGACCGTGACCTACGTGCCACTCCACGAGCTCAACAGAGTGACTGCGATATAACAGATATTACTGACATCCTACGTATCACCAGCACATATATATGACATACATTCTATGATATACTGCGTCGATACGAAATGGAATGTGAATACGATTAAATCGAAAAAGTCACTACGAAAAATACTGTGAGCAAACACTATAGAAAAATACTATGAATGAAAAGCAAGAAAATATGTACATGAATATAACCACACTACAACCTACGGTCTGGGGTACGATCCGATCTCAATGTCATCCAGGTCCCAACCAAGCCTTCCTACCTCCTTTTTGGCTACGCTGCATCCAGGTCCTTGGTAGCAGTCGACCGTCTTCCAGTTGTTTCCATTCAGCTTCAATCCATGCAGCTTGGCACCACTTAGAGATGGCATACGAGTGGTGCTACGAGCCCATCGGGGCTACGTCCATATTGCTGACGTTGAAGGCACAGGAGTAGTCGAAAGCAGCAGGCTATGGTGTTGACACGATGGCGAATGAATGATGCAAACGCCGATAGCGGCTAGAGTCCGTCGCCACGTGGCAAACTTTAGCTCTCTGCTGCGTACGGTGCCTCCCCGGCGGGACTACGCGCGCGCCCCGGCGAGGCCGGCCTTTAAGTCATCCGAACGGCACGACAGTAATCAACGGCATACCTGATTTTCGTTCTATGACGGAGCTCGGTATTCCGGATTCCCTTCTCTACATGCTTGCATAGAGAAATTCCGAGCATCGTCCTTCCCAAAGCTCGTTGAGTAAGGCTGACAGCATGCTCATCCTGCTTTCGGAGAGTCCAAGTCTCCGAGGCGTATATCAAAACAGGAAGGACAGCGGTGTCAAAAAGGTTAGCGCGAACCGCATGTTCTTTGTCTTCTTCACTAATCCCTCAACATTCTTGAATGCTCCCCACGCGGCTCGTTTTCTTCTGCTCAGCTCCGGAGCTAGGTCGTTTATCATGCTGACTTCCACACCTAGATACACATAGCTAAAGCATTCGGAGGTATTCGTTCCGTTCAGCGAAAAGGGAGCATCAGGTACAAATCGTTTTTTCATGAACATCGTCTTCGTTAAGTTCAGTCTCAAGGCGATCCTTCCACAAGCACTGTCAAATTCGGCGAGCATCCGTACGTTCAGCTCGATGTTCGGCTTTATAAGTTTATGAGCACGATGTCGGCGCTGAAAAGTTTGTCGCCCTGCCGGACACCTCTCTTCACGTTGATAATGACTTCCCTGTACAATGACAAAACCCTGGTCGTGAAATTATTGTAAAACTCACAAATCATCCTTATATACTGAGTAGGAACACCCTGGTTGTTAAGAGCTTCGATTACATTTTCTGTCTTAACTTTATTAGAGGCTTTCTTCTGATCGAAGAACGCAAGACATAACCCTTTTGCCAACCCAGTATTACACTTAATTATTGTTCTATTATTGAAGAAACAGTAATCACAGCCCCTTCAATAATAGAACAATAATTAATAGTAATATTAGGTTGACAAAAAAGTTAAACAAAAAATTTGGAGCGTCATATTTCGTATAAACAGTGTGAACACGATAGCAAGGGTGATAAACTTTCGAGAAGTTGTTCGGGCATCCAACATATGAGTAAAAAAGAGCACGCATGTAGTCTTTTGCAACTTTTTGAACAATGATTGGAGAACACCTGATGCGTACCATCACCCTCTACTAGGCACGTCAGAGAAAAACGCACGTGTAGCGACTGCAACTAACAGCATCCTAATCGCTGAAAGCATTGTTCAGCGGTCAACAATGCTTGTACCCCGCAGGAGATACTAGTCTCTGAAGTAACGCAGGCATATATTTGCCCCATAGTTTTGTATGCGTGAAGGGTTTCGTCCATTACGAGATGCTCGACGCAGACTAGATAACCTCAACTGTCGCCGAACTCTATGAACCCTAACATTAGGTCATCGCGGTTGGAGAAAGTATACACCCTCTTCAAGCATCCCTTCATGCATAAAAGTTCGTAACTTCTGGCTAGATTGTCTGATACGATACAGAAGTGAATGATTTCTTTGAAACACAGCTCCCTGAATTTTGATTGAAGGTGTGATTTAAAGCAGCGATTCACTCAAAGGATAGTCGAAGGCTCTTGACCTTACTGGTGACTACATTTATTATTTATTGCTCTATTGCTAGATTGACTTGGGAAAATCTAGAAGTATTGGGTTGGAAGGAAAGTCCTGCAACACAATGATTCTTTTTCAAATCATTTCTAAAATTTTCCAGGTCGATCAGTTTTCGGAAGTATATTTACCAAAGGGGTCAACAACCTTTTATTATCCTTTGAGTAAATCACTGATGCCTTTTATCCAGGAGTGAGGAAGCTGTGACTCAAAGAAGTAATCGACTGCCGTCTTCAGATCACATTAAATTTCGATTTTTTTCTACAACGGTATGCTCAAGAAGGCGGAGCGCATATTAGGTGAAAGGGGCAACACTTAGGGAGTACGACTGATGAACAACCTGGAACCAATTGGGATCGTAGAACCTTTGAGACGCGTTTAAAGCGGAATTTCGACGCGCGCAGTCCCTCTAAGGGTACCTGATTTACGGTTTTGATGGTCGTTCTCTAAACCCGTTGGCCAAATTTCGGGGTTCATAGGGGTAACCGATAGCTGTGTCCATCTAGTCTGCGTTTAGCAACTCCTAGTGGATAGATTCCTTCAACCTCCATCAAATTAAGGGATGATGCTTGCGTTACTCCGAAGACTAATATCTCCTGCAGTGAAGCGGTCCAACCGATTGTTGACCGTCGATCGGTGAGCAGTGCCAGCATTGAATAGGTTCATGATAATTTAAGCCGCTACACCCGCTTTTTTCCCTTGGCGCACTTCGTAGAAGGTGATGGTACGAATCGGTTGTTGTCCATTTATTGACCGCAATGCTTCTAAAGCCCACACGCGTGCCCTTATTTACTCATGTGTTAATTACCTGAGGAATGTCCTACAAGTTTATCACTCTTGCTACCGTGTTCACACTGTCGATACAAATTGCTGACGCTTCAACTTTTTTGTTGCAGGATTTTCCTTCCAACCTAATAGATTCAGACTGATTTCCATCTCGTGGCAAAACTTCCGGGCCACCATATTAATAGTAAAGATAATTATAACTAGTAATAAGAAATCGACATTATCAGTCAAGTAATAGCAGACATGTTCGAGCGTCCGCAAAAGAATTAACAAAATCCAATCAGCTAGCTTCCTTGTGGAAACGCCGGATAGGTTTATTACGTGTGCAAAGGCACAAGTGGGAAAATATATGAGACACCCGAAAAATCAAGCATAATCTCCATACACGTAAAAACCAATCAAGTTACCCAAAATCTGACAATAAGACGCTTTAGCTTAGCGGACAGTCTCTGGAAACGCTAGCAGTATAGAACAATATATACACAAATGTCTCAATGAAGACCGTCCAGATAATAGTTGCATGTAAACAGTTTTCTGAGGAGCTAGGGGCAATTGCCATTGTTTGGACAATTTCACCGCTAAGTCGATCGCTTCTTCTAGAACTTGAGGGTCATTCAGACATAAAATGCTTGTAAGTTTGCGAATCGTCTGCATAAACCCTTGTCCTGACTTCTTCCTCACACAGCATGGTCGGGATTTCGCCCGTGAAAATGTTGAAAAGGACAGGTGAGAATATGGCTCTTTGCCGTACTCCACTTCCTACGCATCTCAGGCTAGAGAATGATTGATCAATATTCACCCAGAACGTTCTGACTACTAGCTTATTTCTGATTCATTCAATAACAACAAGATGAATCCTAGAGACTCCAACCTATGAAACAATTTGTTGTGGGAAATCTATCGAATGCTTTTGCGAAACCAAATAACTCATCGCAACTATCTTTCTTGTTTAAAAATTCCGTTCAATCATCGACAGTTCAACTTCAACTAGTTTAGTCTCAACAAATCGCACCGAGGTAAAACTATGTTGGTTAGCTGAAATTATCGTAATGACAGAAAAGTGGTTGACGATGTGGTCCTTCAAAACATTGTTAAAGAGCCTTTGAAGTGGTGAACTAATACTCAGAAGTAGGTTATCCTTCACAAGTAGAGATGTAGCGAAGGAGTGCCACGTAGGAACTGCAACAAATGATGAAGACTGATCAAAGATGTATACGAGAACCCTAAATATAACTGGAACCTTCTTGCCGCTAGAAAGAATGGAAGAGAATCAGGCATAGCCAAGGGGAAATCGGGTCACTTAGCAATTACATGAATCGCACAAAACGAAGGCTGTGAAGCAGGGTAACATCTTTCATGGGTTCAACAGAATGGTAGAAGTCATTACGGATATTCTCGCCATCAACCTGAAAAATGCTTTCAAATTGATACCCTATTCCCTTCATCAAGCAACCAATGCATTTGATATCTTGCAATTTCTTACTTAAATGTCTCTAGGAATTACGAGCATGACCGGAGGTAGTGGTTTTCTTCTTCAGATAATCATTATACTCTTGTAAGATGCACATGATACTTTAACGGGGCGACTTTAACCTCTTCCAATTTTTGCCTCAACGAATAAAACTTCGCGATGCTCCTACACCTTTCACAGTTATGGAGGTAGGCGAGCGAGCGGACTTATCACAAGGGACCGTTGACCATGGGACGTGAGATTTGAGTGCGCTATGCAAGATTGATAGAAGCAGCTTATACTTCTCATTAACACTATTTCTGGATTTGAGCAATGGTAACGAACGTGGGCCAGACTACTACACAGGGCTCTTGAATTACGATTCGAATATATCCGCTCATATGTACATGTATGTTTGTAGGCTGAGACAGCATACATCTAACTCGAAACGGCATGTTATGATAACATAAATCAACGGCAGAAGCAATCGACAAGTCTCCAAAAACATGGGCATTTGGAACGAGATCAAGAATATTGCCACTTTTCGTGGGAACCATCCCGCGACCACACTATATTTATGATGATGATAGGGAACCTTCGATGAGTTTAAAGACTGACCTTCCTTGGCATGAAAATATTTCAGCATACGAACAGACCGACCTAACGATTTTCCTTGACTTTAGCGAAGGGACTCGTTACATGTCTGGGAGGAGCAGTGGCGGTTGATGACTCCACCCTTAGCAGTGAGCGACGTTTTGTCTCCTTCCTCAAATTTGCGAACCCTCACCTCAAGACGCTTCCTTTCTTCTGAAGCACGAAATTTCCTCATGTAGACCTCTAGACCGGAAATATAGCGCAGACGCGAGACTTGTTCCGATGCAAGACTTTGAAAAGTGCGAGATGACAAGACAACTTTCAATAATCTGTCACTACATACTCGATACCCACCAAGTCGATAGAGTGAGTGGGTCACATTCTACATTCAAAAGTCAAGCATGATACAGACACTGGCGAAATCATATGAAAAGCAATCTCTGAGATTTGGTGACTCTAACTCTGTTACACCACTTACAATTGTAGAGCGTTATTTCTCAACTTCTTGGAAAGGCACCACCATTTCTGGCAACGGTGATCCCACATCAGAGAATTGATATAGTTGGGAACTCTGTAACGAGTGATGTGATTAGTTGATGAATCAGACAAAACCTCACGAGCGCTGTTGAGTTCCTGTATGATTTCAGCATTTTCAACATGCAGCTAGTGGAGTTCCCGCATTACGCAGCTATATCTTCCTTGATACTCCGCCACGCCACTGGATTTCATTAGGAGCGCGACTTGGTCCTGTAGTCCTTGGACAGACATACGTAGGTCGTTTCCACACCATCATAGCCTAGGCCTCTTGATTGTTGTGATTTGACACTTTTCAGTGTGGAACGTAGGTCAGCAAGCGAACCGAAATAATCGATCAGCAGCCACCACTGCCAGTGCAACGCAACAAAATTTATAAAGCAATATACCTTAGAGAGTGGCACTTTCAAAAGTTCAATTTTCTCATGTGTCACTATAAGCAGGACGTGGTGCGTACTTCGATGCAGAAGATGCCGAAAAAGGCCGAATAGACTGAATAAGTGGACATAGTAATGCCGGCACAAAGAACGATAGGGCAAACAACCGCAGTAAAGGGCATGGTAGTACGTGGTAGTACGTATCTAAATGTTGAACCTCATTAGTAGCACTTAGCAGAAAAGGTTCCACTCATTAAACTTACCCAATATCGCTTCCGATAGTTCCCCACTACTTAATTGACTGCACTTGACAAGGCAATCAGCCATAATCGAACAAGATTGAAGTGAGTAGTGAAGTAAAAATTACTAGCTATCTGTTGTTCTCTTTGGCACTACCGACTACCAGCGTTATCATCTTTCTAACTCCGTAATTATCATATCTGCCTCATCACGGATTTGTTTCAGCTTCGCACATTCCTTGAATACCCATACCCATCTGGTAGCTTACTATGGTATATGTCTGGGAATAGGAGAATTCATTGGTATGTTGCGAAATAATCCTCATTCGCGCGACAAATCGAAATTTTTAAAATTTTAGGTGGTCTCTTCGTCTCTTTTCTGTCAAGACGAATACGCAATTTCAGTCTGACGCCAACTATGCTTTGCCATGCAGTGTTCAGCATCTGCTTCCAGACGCTTTTTTTCTTGGCATTCCCCACTTGGTCGACGGCAAGGCCGTCACCTGGTGAAGGAATAGTATTATCACCCACGTATGTTTGAGAACGTTCTTTTTACCTCAACTCAATTGCAGCACCCACAACTTTCCTGCCATTATTCAGAGTTCCAATTTGCATTGTATGTGGACTACTCGTAGGGTTGGCTGACTCAACAATAACTACTGCTCGAACAGTGATTTGTCAAATTGCAGTACCTCACCGGCGACCTCAAGCCTTTTCTCTAAGCAGATTAATACAGGTAACATAAACAAACTAGTCGGACGCACTCTCTCCTCTAGATGGTCTTTGTTACATATTGAGGAGCTAAGAAAGGGGCGAAGACCTGTATTTATCGTAACAGGAGCCAAGCTGTTTCTTTATAGAAAGGGTACTATTAAAAGCAACGCTCAGAGATTAACTGACCAGGTGTGCTCGATATTGCTGACCAGTCAAGTTTTCGCAAAGCTGGCCCGCCTAGAGCCTCATATCTTGAATAATTGATCCTGTCGTCTCTGTTCGCTTAATAATACGCTTGACGAATTTGTCCTTCTACTTAAAACTCTCATTAAGAAGTTTGACGTTCAGGTCGGCGGACGTTTTGTGTTCATTTGACGAAGTGAGGGAACTCGTTGCTTAGCTCCTGTTTCAATTGCCTCCACAGAATAGAATGACTGACCAACCTGTTTATCGATTCCATGAACGATCGAGCACAGTCCCTCGATTGACGAAGCCCAGAATTCCAGATCTCTACACTCTGGGGTATTGGAGAACTATGAGCATTGTTTTTCCCACAGCTTGTTGACCTGCGTAGAGTCCAAGGGTGTGAGGCGTGATTCAAGGCGAAGCCCGGCTTAGCTTACCTGTGCCCTTATGACCTTGTTCTATGTCCAATCCAATCAGACTTTGACCCGACCTCTTCCCAGGTAACATCGATTCTCGTGAGTCGGCGTTGGTTCCGAGCTTGAGAGAGATGCTCCTCTATCCAAAACACTCAAAGTGAAATTATTACATTGTCGAGCTTTTCCTAATACTTGGATAGAGAAGAGCAGGAAGAATGATCCGATGAGAAATATGTTTGGAAAGAAGCGAATCATTCATAGTAGACCTCATTCTTTGCTACTACAACTGTGCTTGTTAAATGAATTGACGACTCCATTCAAGAAGCATTCAAGAAGTAAGGATGTAATAATCAAGAAACAGTTATTCAACTCATATTACGCATCGGTACAAAAAGTGTAAAAGATTTCCTGGTAGAGAGAACAAGGGTGAAAATTTATAGCGTAGCGTATGAAAAAATAACTGGTTTGTTATGTAATCAGTGGCTAAAAGTGAGCATTTACGGGACCGCGGCTTCTCTAAATTTGCCTAACACCATCATGGCTCTCTTAAAGGCTCGGTTCACGATAGCAGACTCGAGTTTCAAGAATACGTTTAGCGATATGTCTCTTTGAGAGTAGACACTTCGATTCTTTAAAGCCTTTTGTTGTCAAAGCTTCGGCTGATTTATTGATTGAGTTAACTATTTCAGTCCGTGTCTTCGTCGATTGTTCTGTTCTTGTCACCTGAGATGTCAGTTACAATATGGACGGTGACACTGCTAACTAGCCTGGCTTTTGGCACAGCTTCTTTCGGATATGTGGCGATGCAAGCGACAAAGGTCTCACCGGACGAACAAAACCACGACACTGCTCAAGTGAAAAATTGAATCTGTCAAATAAAACTAACTAATAGTACAGCTGTGACTATACATTTATTCATTCATTTGTTTATTCAGTTATTCATACACTCCACAGAGTGCTCCTTCACTAGTGTAATGCATAGGCAACCGTATGCCGATTTACAGATGCTGTAATGATAGTAATACAGCAAGAAACTTTCATGGACAGTATCTGCACAAACTAAAATTATTGCCTTCATTCCACTGAGAGTCATCAGACAGATTTAGAAATGGTTACGAAGGTATTACACTTCTATTACGGGACCGTCTCGTATGCTATTGGTTGATTGGCGACGAGTAAGCGACTGGCTTCCACAATGGGAATGGTGACGACAGATTGCACTTCCAACATCATTACGAAAGAACTTCGGACTAACAAAAATCAAAATTGACCAAGAAAATGAAAAGATTCAAAAGCTGCCTATATGACAACACAGATTCCATGTTAGGATCTAAATAAAATTCGACTGGTGTCGTATCTCAAATTTCAGAGTACACCAACATACCCCTGAAAAGAAGAGGGAAGAGTGCAATCCTCTCTTTTTCCTCCCATGCAAGCGACCGTGACTGATACATTATAAGGCAACGAGAGCACTAAGAGCAAGCACACCAACAGAACGCGCTAGTCCCTCATCCACTGACGGTTAGGACTGCAAAGAAAGCTATTTCTCAACCGCTCCCCCTCAGATCGAAGGAAGCCAGGTAGCAGGATCTACCTTAATTTTGACTCTTTTCCATCGCCTGCCTTGCCATGAAGATCGCATCTGCTGTAGACCTCACGGCATGAATTCGATCTGCTCTCGGGTGATCCGGACGAGATCCTTCGATTCGAGTCGACTATCTTGTCGTACAGTTTCGTAATATGTGCAGTCGACCTGATCCCAGTTTAATTGGGAAAATCCATCTAGCCTCTCTCCTTTTGCTCCTTTCAAAAATGGGAACGATCCTGCTGCTCCTCCACGCAGTGAAGTTTCTTAATGGCACGATCGGTAGCCATTACAGCTTTCACTGCCTTGTGAAAAACCGATGCCAGGATTTCGCCAGCAGGTAGATTACCTTTTCTTCTCTTCTACTCCCGAGATTCTCGCTTCTAGTTCCGTATTTTCTGTCTTCGCCGCTGCAGTCTTGACATGCCTCTTGCACTTCAATGGGCAGTTAGGTCTTCTGCAGCTTCCTTCCTCTGCCAGCGCATGGATGCATCATCCTTCTGCTTTTCGCCCCTTTAGACCTCATCGTTCCAGAACCAGGTTTCCTTGCTTCCTGTGAATCCAGCTAAAGTCTCATCAAGTGTTTCTCTTCTACAGAGTAGAATAAGTCGCAGTGCTCCTACAAATTTGTTGAGTTAGTACAACCCTTACTTAATCTCTTGGGATGCTCGATTGCTAGCTCTGCTAAGAGTGGTTTATACTGCGGAAACACTCTTCTCTCGGTAGTGCCTTCATGCCCTTTACAGATTTAACGACGGTTCTCTCACCATTACCTGGTCGATCTCCGTCCGTCTCCTTATGCTACCGGTTGCAGTCGGTTAGCTTCTGAGTTTCCTTTCTTGAGAAGAAGATCTACAGTCTGCTAGATCTTCTTCTGGCTGTCAGAGGTGCGAAGGGACTTTTCAGATCATCCGCTATGTTGAGACACTCTCCTCACTGTATGGCCCCATGCCTTAGTCATGGTTCAGGTAAAACTAATTGCTTCCGAGCTCGAGTTGGCCGGCTTATGATGCGTAGACGGATATTATTGTCCAGTATCGCTCCATCGTGTCTACCATCATAGCAATGTCACGATCACCAATCCTGTTTACAGTGAGGACAGAGTATTTGGATGTGTAGACCACACCTTTTCATTTGTTTCAACTCTTTGCCTTGCTCTTTTCATGTGAGTCCCCTGAAGGCAAAGGACTTGACGGAATTAAATGCGTAAGTAACGGAACCATTTCTACGAATTCCGCAGAGCTCTCTTCTCACAGCAGCATCGAGAACGTGGTTCTCCTGGTTCTAAAGTCTAAACGGCTATGCTTGCTGTTCTTCTAATGGGATATTCCAGGGTGACAACTTGTCATTTCCACTCATGTGAATACGTTTTTACTGTGCAAAGTTGTAAAAACTCCAAACACGGAAAGGTGTCAAGAGGCTGGCTCAACTTCATATTTACAGAGTGCCTTGAATATGGATTGACCTGCGTTTACCTTTCTCCAGCAATAGCCGAATCACCTTTAAAACATGCAAGCTTATATTAGGTTGTAAGGAAAGTTCTTGTCGTTCTGACAGCTAACTTTCAAAAAGTCATAACACATCCTAAAGTGAACATTTTTATACGAAGTAAGCCCCCATCGATTCTATGTACCATTAGCAACGTGTACGAACTGTTCTATTCCAATCGTTCAAAAATGCAGTGATCTGGATTCCAAGAATTCGAGAAGGTCAGCTTCCTCGCCGCTTCGATTTTCGAGTTCTCGATCCCTCAAGAAGTTGTCCAAGTGTTTGAATAAATGGAAGTCAATTGTTGAGAGGTCTGATGAGTAGGGTGAATGGAGAAGAGCTTCGATCCGGAGCTCGCTCAACTTTTGGAGGTCGATTTGTGACACATGTATTGTCACACACTGTCGTGCAAAAGCACACGATTCACTAGTGATGGCTGCATTCGCTCCAGTTTTGTATACATCTTGTGAATTTGAGCACACCGAAACTATGCGGTGATGGTTTGATCGGAAAAAGAAAATAGTAGCGTAGCAATCCAAGGCTGAATCACCGAACTGTGATCATTGTCTACTTTACGTGTAAAATTGACATGGGGAAATTCTTGGAGGTTCAGAACGTTTTCTGTTGTCATATACGATCCATCTTTCATCACACGTTACAATACGAAGAAATGGTTCAATATCATTGTTCCTCAGCAAGGAACTTGAAATTTTTTGGCGTCTCAATTGCTGCTGCTCCGTAAATGGGTGTGTCACCCACGTGTCATGTTTCCTCTCCATCCAGAGCTGCTTGAGGTGATCCATGACGGTTGTATGTGAAACGACCACATATTTGATAATCTCTACCAAAGGTTGGCGTCGGTATTCGTCGACTGCTCTTAGCGTACCATCGTGTTTAATTAACGATGGTCGACCAACTCGCTCTTGGCATTCCATTTACTCGTCTCCCTTTTGAACTTCTGAAACCAAAGACGAACCCTACGCTAAGATGCAGTGCCTTCTCCTAATGCAACGATGATGTTGTGGCTGCCTCATTCGTAGTTCGACCAAGCTTGAGCCCATTAGATAAAACGTTTGTAAAACAACTTTGTATTAAGTCGATTGGAATATTTGACAGTCGCCAATTTTTTTTCTTACAACCCAACAGATTTTCGTGAAATTTATTAACAAGCAGTGAACTTGGTGGAATAAAGCATATACATACGTAATGCGTTCTTGCCGCTTGCGAACCCTGGGTCATTAATATTGATAAATGAGACAGACGTTCCTTTTTCTTTGGATATAAACGTTATCATTCGCTTTCCGTGTAGTTTTGTCCAATACCTCGGTCTACACGTTACCAAGCGCAATGAAAAGGAAAATTACTGCTATCGTCGGTCGATGCCATTTGCAGGCATGCAACCGCTTCAGTGTGAGTTACAGCACCTTCGCCATTCCCAACTCTCACTGTTAAAAGGTGACACGAACAAGGTGAATTGCTCTGTACTGGAACCAGTACATTTCCAGTTTCTCATCATTCCACAATACTTGCGGAATATAGTAGAAAAAAGTGAAGAACTGAAAAGGAGACGTATATTTTTTAGATGAATAAATTCAAAAAATTCCTATAGAAATTCATATGATGTTGCACCCGACATCTTGATAGAGCGAAGTGGTATGACACTTTCTGAAGACTTTTCCAGGTGCTCTTTGTAGATATTCAGAGCCGATGCACCTAATAATGATACCTACAGAGCTTTGTACAGGTGACACTATTATTGTGCCATGTTGAAACTTTACAAACAATGCGGTAAGACCTGCAAAAAAGCCAGTCCGATGATGCAGTTTCCGATGCAAGCGTCCGTAACTTACTGTAACGTCCTGTTAACAGTGGAACGTTGGCGTTTCTTCAGACGATGTAAGATGCAAAAAGGTCGTAGATACTATGTGACAGGAACTGCTAACAACTGATGAAAGCTGATGAGAGACCCATGTGAGCAAGAAACACTAATCAATTGAATCCTAACGCCTTTGGTATCAACTATCTGGCTTTGACTCTTTGATATGTTTCATTCGATAAAACCGGTAAGTGCTGTGATAGGGATCGATGGAAGGCACTGCACTATAAGGAGATTAGAATTTGCTTCATTTCCTACAATTAGGTTACAACCGTTACCCATCGAACTATAAGGCTCAATGAAGGATCAGGGATTCTCTTTGTTTCAATATAATTCACTCATTCTGCCGCCAGTGATCAGGGTTCTCAACTATTGACAAATTCGTAGGTAAAGGAAGATCCATCGAGAACGGTATTTGCTAATGGTGTTATTCCCAGTCGGCAACATTGTGAGCACTGTTTAAAGCTTGGGTTACCCATCACTTAAACCTTTGTGGGGTCATTATTTTCAAGATAAGGAGCAACCGATCGAGGCATAGGCATCGACACATGCTGAACACCACTTGCACTGTCCTGCTTGCCCTGTGTCACATTTCGTGATCAGAAAGGTACCCTTTCAAAGGAGTTTCGGGTTAGCCGATTATCAATCACAACGCTGTCATTAGAAAAAGGAAGTATGGCGTTAGCCGGACAATCCGGCTGGTCCTCCTAAAAGACTGTAGTATTACCTTCGTTTATACTGCCAGGAAACCATCCGAGTGGTTAGCAGGACAGTATCGAGAAGGTGTGAGCACAGCGACGTATGCAGACAGTACCCACATCCTTAAATATAAAAGCCAGCAAGGTTGCGGATAGGTTACACTCAGTGAGCAATAGACAATCTTTCTCATTTATTAGTGTTGCTTAGATAACTCATCG